CCCCCCCCCTTTTCTTGTCATGGAACGCCGGGTGTTGACTCTTGAGTATACCGGCATGAAAGTCACGTTTGATGCGCTGGAGCGCCGAGAGGCACACTGGCGAGAGTTGCTCGCCAAGGCAGGCCTTGTGATTAAGGATGTTCGGAAATTTTACCAAAATTCAGGATTCGGTCATTATTGCTGCCGAGGCTCCCTGAACGATGTAGCCTGCTAGGAGTTAGTTACTAGATGGACGGACCACAAATAAACCTGATGATGTCACCTGGTCTGCATTTCGAGCTTTGTCTGTCATCCCCTTTTAGTAGGTGGTGGGTTCGACTCCGAGGCTAGTCATTATTGAATAATTTAAGCTGTTGGCTCTTACTGGGATTTGATCACACGACTATGGCTGGGACATTTCCGTCTTGTGTCTGAAAGGAGAATCGGCTACCTTAGTTTCTCGCTCCAAGTTGAACAGAAATACCGGCCGAAAGTTGCACTCTGACTGTACACATGTGAGAGTCATACACATGTACTCGTGGCTGTTGCCCAGCTCGCGGCAAAGTTGGACATATAACAGTGCAGATAAAGATGACGATGCGTCATCCAGACTGTAGCCGCCGCTCATGCACCGAAGTTGGTCCCATTTCAGACTAAGAAATTGAATACAAAACCTCCTCAGATTACCAGCATCTTTTTTGATCATTGCTTGGAAATCACTCTTACGTAGGGCATCTAGTATAAATAGGTTGCTATGCGTTCCTGGCGACTTTCACCACGAGGTAAAAGTAAAAGCATGTCCAATCATCACCGCCTCTGGAACCACGCTGGGGTGCGGAACAGCAAATGACAGACAGCAGAGCAAATACCCATCATGAAACAAAACTTTGCTTATTATGGGTATCAGGCCTGTGTATTTTGTTGACGCCGCGCATGAAGTTGGGCAGCCAGCTGTGCTCTGTGTTGCCGAAAAAAAGGCACTATTTTGCTGTGTAACAGAAGTAGGCTTCTCGTGCCAAATAGATGTTTGAACTTTCGGTATCGTTGAGAGTTTGGCCGTGCCGCAATACATGAAAAAGCCAGGAATATTTTGGGGAGAGTCGTCCAATGTCCCTCCAAACTTATCCTCCGTCTACCCAGGCACCCGGAATGTATAATGGTTGGTTCTCTAACATTTCCCAGAATTCACCAGCAAATTCTCCAACCAAGAGATCCCATGTAACGTCCCAGTCCTCAGGTCTCGGTCCATGCTTGATCGAAACCAGGTATACGTTACTTGGGGCTGCACCGAAAGAGTGCCGAGAACGAGAAGGAGAAAGTAGGGCATCAAAAGTTCAGATTCCCTCGGCCCGTATTCCTCGAGATCGATTCCGGCTTCCGAAGCATCTTCCAAAAAGAATTTCCATGCGATAGTAACAACCTTCCCGTATTGCTTTATCCACCTTGAACGCAGGGTTCTCCGACAGCCACATCTCAGCAGAGCCGTGATGGACGTGACGGTCTGTGTTAACGGAGCCGTACCGCCAGGCCACTTTCAATGGCGCAGACCTGTAAGGTGATTGACGTGTCCGGTAGGATCCTTTTACCGAGCTCTTGCCAGCTTTTGTAGACTTCTTCAGACGGGTAAATGGCTCTTTCAAGTCAATTTGTCGGCTTTTATAGGCCCAAATGAATTCCTGCAATGATTGGAACAGTACATTGGCTAAAGCCGCCTTCAGACCCTCTGTTGTGGTCCGGTTTTCAGAAGGAACATAGCGCAAGACTTTTGGATTAATAAATGACCAATCGAAAGAGTAAAACTGAGAATCCCGAGGCAAATGAATGAATCTCTGGTGCGTCTCGTTCTCACTGAGGGCCAAGAAGCCAGGGGTAGCCCAAATCCAGACTCCGAGTTGGCGCGAATCTGTCGTTTTGTCGAGCCGTGTACAGCAATCAACGAAGTCCCCATCCGAGTATAGTTTTCAAGTATTCCAGACTCAGGTCTGGTGCCGGTGACCCTCTGAATCCATATATATATGTATGTATAGGTATATAAAAAGGTGAGGGCCAGCAATTGTTCAAGTCTCTTACTCACCGGAAAGTGCTCAATGTCAACAACTTGACAACAAAAGTAGAAGTTCACCGCAAATGTTGCTCCATTTGTTTTTTGGAAGTTGGAATGCCGCTTTTGGAGGACAATGTGCGTCAGCTGTTCCCAGCTGTGATAATATCATACCAGATAAGCAACCAGACACTACCAGGAGAGATCTCCACCTTGTTTAGTGCAGCTGGCAGACCCATGACACCAATGACCCACAACACGGCACGGGCGCTTATCATCTTTGGAAGGAAGGAAACCCGCGCCGCCTGTAAACATGGTTTCTCAAATGCCCTTGCATTTCGCGTTTCCTCTGATTCGCTTGTAGCTGCTCAGGCGGGAGTTCAGGCGGGAAATGGGCATCAAGCGGAAACTCGATGATTTCGAGGTTGGCGTGCTCATCAAGGAGGAGAAGGCATCACGGTACGGACGCGCTACGGCGAAGACTATAGAACCACCACCATTCACTTGGGTTTTGAGAAAGAGAGGATAATTTAACTTCTTTAATTTTTTTTAATTAGCTTAAAACTTGTGCTGGTTACATCGTCTTCTGAGGCTGGCTGACCTCGTGTGAGTGGGCGTTGTGTTTTATGTGTTATCCGTCGTCCAAGCCTCCATGACGGATACATAGGCCAATTGTAAGCGGTATCCCCTCTGGTGCGTTAAGGCTCCAATCGAGTATCTGCAAAGATATATGTCTAATAAGAAGCTAAATTTAAAAAGGTACATTTACTTACTAGAAAATTAAGTGATAATAAGTGTACTTAAGTGATAATATCTTACAAGTCACTACATTTAACTTCATATAATCCTAGCGCTATTAACGGGTCGCCTTACGGTCACCCGCTATCAGCATGGGCATTATGGGGCTAGTAACCCCACTGGAGCCTTAACACACCAGAGGGGATTGTGCGCGGTCGCCCCGATCGCAAGGGGAAGGTATGGCTGAGGTCTTAAATCACGCTCATTGGCCTCTACCGTAACTACTGACTAACTTGGAGGGACAGGTTTGCCAGCGACTGCCCCAAGTGGCTCTTATCACTGTGCCTGATTGAAGATACTAGTACCTGGCTAAAAAGCAACAAGACTTGCCAGATCCCGTCCCTTAACGTGACAAAGCGCACATCATGCCGGGTCAACCAACTGCTAAGCCTGTCTCCTGTCACCTTCCTTCTTAACCAATTGAAGACAGGTGGGTGTGGAGAGAGGTGTGAACCGACTGCTGAGGTACATTACCCCTTCTCGCTTTCTATAAAGAGGGCAAATGTCTCCCAATTAGCTACCGGCTTCATCAAGTAGTCAGGTTGACTTTTTGTGTATTTTAACCGTACAATATGGCCACAAATATCCGCTACCGTTTCCTCACGGCTTCCCAAGTCATGAGGCTGTATACGCGATACATTGCTAAATCATCACCGACTCAGCCAACCATGCTAGAGTCCGCCATTGACTCACCAATGAATCACAAACACTACGGACAAAACGACTTGTTTCAACTGGCCGGGATTCTTGCAGAGAAAGTGATTCTCAATCACCCATACCAGGATGGCAACAAACGAACTGCTCTTTTCGCCGCAGACATGTTTCTGAAGATGAACGGCTACCAGTTACACAAGAAACCAATGGGCAAAAATGCCACAGAACTCAATGAAGGACTCGCCAATGCTCATGTTCTCGTCGCAACGAGCCAGTGGACATCGGAGGACCTAGGGAATTACTACGTTAATGTGGCTAGACCGCTAGAAGATGAAAGCAGAGAGAGAGATCAATGAATACAGCAAGGATGCGGTCGAGTGTTGGCTTAGATGGCCGGTCGATAACCTCAGTATAGTGGCATCTCGTTCCCTTGGGTCCAAATGTATTTAAGTGCAAGCGAAGGATATTATTACTTTTGAAACTGTGTTGGCATTTAGTCAACCATGGTACAGGCAGCCACCAGGTTCCTTCTGATGCTAGAATCATGCAAAAAGTAGGGCCCAGGCCATGCATTATCTATCTCGCAGAAGTTCAGCAGCCCCTTTTAATCTTTCATAGCTCTCTCGTGCGGATTCCTCAAATTTATCTATTTCAAATAAGTACGTAGTGATAATATGTCAAATATGAACAGACTCACGATCGGTCGTGCCATCCAAAGTAATACAATGTGACGCTCCCCATAGCCAGAGAGTTGCGGGGCTCATATTGGTTGCGTTTTGTCGTGGGAGATCTCGTTCAATAGTAACACGTGGATATGGTACCATAGCTATAAGGAGACTATATTAACAGGGATATCAACGTAAAACAGGTTCGCACACACACCATGCGCAAAATGCAGGGTCTCATGGAAGAATGTTAGGGGAATCTTTTCAGGATCAGAAGTGAGGCATATGCCAGTCTGCTTAGTGATAGCTGATTTCATAGCAAAGCCAACTTCCTTATCGAACATAATATAGGCCTGATGGGGTTCGCCGATGATAATGTCAAGGTTTCGTGTTTTGAGAGACCCCTTGGCATCAAACGTAATAAATTCCGCCTTCGCATCATGGAATGCTCTTCGAAATTGGAACGCTCGATTGTACTGCAATGGCAGTGTATAAAGGGAGCGAAAGCGTGGCCTGAGATGAGGGGACATTATTCTCAGTGTTCTGAAAGTCGCGCGAGGGTGCTGATCGCCAGGAGGCTTGTAGAGGCAAGTGCGTGGTGAATCCTGATTCCTGAGTTTTCGAGAAGATGTCAGGATAACGGATAATTCTACATCCGTGCCGACTGATCCCGTAATTTTTGTCTTTAAGCAGCGGGAGGCGCAAAGTGGGCCGCGGGGGCGGCGCCTTACCTGTGCGGGCGGGCGGTCGAAAATGGCACGACCAACTTTGCACCTAAAATACTCCGTAGGGTTGTGCTATTTGTGCGGCAGAAAATCGTTTAGATATTGGCTGTGATTCCCCGGGCTGTGATTCCCGGAATTGGGGTCAAATAATTGAGGTCAACTTTTCGACCCACAGTGATTTTTTCAGGCTTTTCCAAGCTAAGGAAGGCTTTTCAGTGACATTAAAGGTTATAAATGGTCAGACCACCTGGATTACGCTGTATTCAACCTATTACTCAAGATCAGCTTCCCATAATGCCTCCTCATAACACCTAAGAGGGTTCAAGCTCACAAATAACCTATAATAGGTGGACTGAACTTCTGTACGAGGCTTAAATCATCATCGCCGTTATCATCGCCGTCATTATCGGTTAAAAAAGTTAATATTAGAAGGTTATTTAAGCTAATTAGTAAGCTCATTTTACTTAAAGAAGAATATTAGTCACCCCAATTAACAGAAATTAACGCGAAGCTATTATTAACATTTTAAACGAAGAATTTTTAAAAGATTTCACGTAAATCTTAGTAACTAAGCCTTTTATAAGTATTAAAGCTACCTTTACTTGCTTAGTATATCGTGAGCAGGGATAGATAGAGGTTTATGTAAAATATTAGGCCTTTACTTAAATTTATGTGTTACATCCAGCTAATTTAAGTTTAAACGCCCATATTATGCTAAATTGTGCGTCAAAATTGGGGTCAAAAGATTGACCCCAATTCCGGGAATCACAGCCAAAAAAAAAGTTGCGCAATCCAACTGCGAACTGAAAGTCGGCTAGTTAGAATGTCTTTTTTCTATGTATCTCTTGTAGGGAACTTACGTGAAGTAAAGTTCGTCCGCTCTCATCGCGATCATACAACGATGCCTCGCCATCAGATATTAGCTTTGCAATACCCCCGAAGTCGCCCTACACTGCAGCGGAAAATACTGAGCTGTCCCGTGGGCGAATATTCCAGCTTGACGACATTTTCCATGTCATACCATGAGTTGATCGACAAAGTAGCATATTCCACTAAGTCTGCGAGAGCCACGAGGGAATCGAAATCGAGCCTTTGTGACCATTCCGATTGATCAGAAACAAGCACACATTCGCCAATTCAGCTTGTAACTACTTACTATGTACTTTTCCAATAAGGCCACCTTGGTTTTGGATAGAATGTGATGATCTGCCGGTGCTAACACCGCCAAGCAAAGAACCCGGCACCCGCTCCAACGCCTGCTTCTCTAGTACAGAGCTAGAGCTGGCGTGTTCAACTTTTTCTCGGGTTCTACAGAGACTGCCTTCAGTGTTTGAGACTGTATTCTATGTCGTTTCGCTCCGTCGATCAAAGAAGATTGAAGCTGTGCGCTCTATCCGTGCCGTCATAGATCTATTCATGCAGCCGCCATATATTAGCAATTAGTCTGCGGGAAAGGGATGAATTGCCATTCAGCAAGTTATAACAAAACAGCTCGAGGCTATCTCGCGATAGCCTTCGCCGGCGCGCGCTGTGATGAATCACCAATCGGCTAGTGTGTCCGACGCATCGCGATGCGTTCATGGTGTCTTGCGTGGTTAGTTACGGTTCTCTGGCCTAGGTACGGCCAAAATACGGTGTTGCTAGATGCCCTCCATCTACAAGTACGTA